ACCTCGATGCACGGGGGCCAGTGATGATCTGAGATCTTGTCAACCCGAACTCGACCCATGAACCCCGATCACACCATAAACCCCGATTTCAATACTCCCTAAAAACAGCAAAACAAGGTCAGGCATTTGAGGTCGGGGTATGTATGTCGACTCGTCAGCTTTTCTATACGACCTATGGGAACACTAATCCTACTTTGACCACAGTCCCTACCCTGTTAAACTCCTTATTTGACTCAAACAGTGATTTGAATACTTGAGGTAAAACACTAACTCCATTTCCTACGAGGATAAGGATCGTGACAGAATAAGTCCTTCTAGAACTCCACCGTTAACACCTATAAATACACAACTTGTGCTCATTCTTGAGGTACGTTTTTCATTATCTTCAATTTATAGCATCACGCACTTAATTCCCTATCTGATTTAAGCATCGGAGGGGCGATGAACACACACCTCCTTGCCTTTGTTGCAGGTATTCAAAGACCGTCCGTGTTCTTCAAAGTAAAATTCGATCATCAAGTTCGAGATCTTTCAAGTAATATTTTTTGGTAGCATCAGCCACCAATAACAATATCGAGAGAAGCATTACAAAATATTTCATAATATCAAAACATATTTGTTATTTTAAGTAAATTAAATAATGCTATTCTGTTTCTAGTATTTGCTAGGTATCAAGGGCAAATCAACCTCATCACACCACTCAATACAACGTGTCTCATAATATGAACTATTTATGTCATTGGGCAAGTAGGTCAACCATACTTGTGCTCCTATTCTCCATTTCAACACACTGCCCTCCATCTCTTTGTTCAATCTCCACATAACACTGTCCTTATATTCCTCGCCCGAGAAAATCAAGCCACCGGTTTTAGTGAATGCTCGGCTGCCTCCGGTGTACCGTTTACGAAATTGAATGCCACTGCCGTTTGATGGCTTCCACGTGGCAATTTCGGCTCCCGTGGTGTTGTCACATAAAATTGCATCAAATATAGCTGCATTTCCTTCCACATCTTGGTCCCACCTCCAATTTCTTATTTTTGTTCTTGATTTCATTGTTGTCATTGTCTTCACATTAGGAACTTTTGATTTTCCGTTAGTACCCTTCAAACTCTTTTGCATTTCCACCTCTCTTTCCATATTGTCAGTTGACTGGCCCAAGCTCAGCCCGCCCACATAACTTGCACCCACTTCTGGCCCAACCCAGACCCGGACTCTTGATGGAAAATACTTCTCATCCATCCAATCAGCATCCTGATCATTTTTCTTAAATCCTAGTTTCACCACATGGAACCGCAGGTTGTCGACACATGCCTTCACTTGGATAAATCCGTCGCTGAATCCGACTGTATATTCCAATTGAATCACAGCCTCAAG